TCCTTCCACCACTGTTGGCGCGACCAAGGCCGGCTCATCCGAACTCGCTGCTGGTGCCTCCGGGGCATCCTGCGGTGTGGTCCCAGAGCTCATGACCGGAGTCGGCGGACCTCTCTTGCGCTGGCTGTCCTGGCGAAAATACATAGACTGTAGGGCTTCCACATTGACCTGCGAATTGTAGAAAGCTCGCTGAGATTGAATCTCCAGCATCTGATCCTTTGCGGTTGGCACCGGAGTATCCATGGCGGTGTGGTCTAGGACCACTTGCGAAAATTGCAAAAGAAGGGGCGTGCAAACTGGAAGCCGAGACGCCTACAGATGAAGCTTAGGGTGGGTTGATTGAAAGGTTTGGAGTATTGTTCCCTGGAGCACGGCACAAAACCCTCCTACACTCCAGAATCTTAAACCTTTTCCCCCTTACTGTAGTCCATGGAGCAGGGGCTGGGGTACAAAGGGGCTCCGTAAAATCAAAGCGAACCCGCTTGAAAGGCGCTCCCTTAAACCGTTGAGGGTTTAGGGCTCAGGGGTTTAGGGTTTAGGGTTTCTGGGTTTACCCTAATGGTCCAAGTACCTAAACACTCTCCCAAATATTAACCTAGATAACTACAATCCGTAACCAAAGTACCTTTTTTGTTGGGTCCCTTCGACCCTTTCGCTTTGGGGTTGAGGGGCTTAGGGAGAAACCAAGGACCTGGTTTTCCTCGACGGCGGCCCCGTGAGGGAGTTGAATGTCCCCATCTTCAGGCAACTTGGGAGTTCGTAGGGAAGGGGTATGAAGGGGCTAGGGCCTTATATAAGGGGTCTGGGCTGTCGGGTTTGGGGTTTAGGGTTTAGGGTTCAGGGTTTAGGGTTTAGGTTTCAGGGGTTTAGGGGTTTAGGGCTTCGGGTTTCAGGGTGTAGGGCTTAGGGGTTTATGGTTTATTGGTTTAGGGTACAAGGCTTATTATTAGGGTTTTAGGGTTCAGGGGCTTCAGGGATTAGGGCTTGGGGTTCAGGCTTTAGAAGGCTTCATCACACCATTATTTGCGGTCCTACCTCGGGGTCCTGGTACCGAGGATCCCAAAATCGCCTTTGTTTAGAAACTTTCGGAACGTCAGGATGTGAGGGCTTTTAGTGCTACGGTTAAGTGTTTGGGGGTTGGGGGGTAGTTCAGGGATCGGAGCTTGTACGGTGGAGGGTCTTGTCCAGAGGCCACGTGCTCCAAAACTCCTCCCCAACCCAAAAGCCCCTAAACCCTAAACCTCAATCTCACAACTTGTCCAAAATCCGTACACCGCTACCTAAAATCCCACAACCTTGAACTGTGGGCCTTTGATGGAGAGCTAAGGCAGCTCGAGAGCTGGACCCTGTAAGCCCGAAGATCCTGCAGCCTCCGGGTTCAGGGTTTAGGGTTTGGGGTTTAGGGGTTTAGGGATTGGGGTTTAGGGTTTAGGGTTTACGGTTTAGGGATTTGGGGTTTAGGGTTTAGGGATTTGGGGTTTAGGGTTTAGGGATTTGGGGTTTCAGGGTTTGGGGTTTAGGGTGTAGGGTTTGCGGTTCGGGGCTTAGGGTTTAGGGATTAGGGTTTGGGGTTTAGGGTTCGGGGCTTAGGGTTTAGGGACATACTCTGGCAAATCCCAGAAGCCCAGAAGCCCCCAACAACCCAAACCTTCAATCCCAAACCCTATGAGCCCTCTAAGCCCTACGCCCTAAAGCGAAGCCTTAAACCCTGAACCCACGTCTCTTACGACCGGACGTCGCCATGTCAAGTTGTGTGCCTATACCCTACGTTAAACCCTCGACCCTAGATCCTTCTTGGTGCTAGAGCTTTGGGGTTATAAGACCCCCAAAGCCCCAACCCAAAGCCAAGGCCGAAGGTGCGCCCGGGTGGCATCCTCTGTGGCCATGACCTGCCGCACAGCCCCGACTACGTGCAGGCCAGATCCTCCGAGGTTCCTTTCAAGGGTTCTCTTGGGGGGGTACAATAATAGACAAGGATTTAGGGTTTAGGGTTTGAAGGGTCTAGGGGGGTACTATAAGGGTTGTTGCAAGGGCATAAGGGTGATAGGTGGGTTGTTAGAAGGGTTCTAGAGGGGTTAAAGAGTTCTTTAAGGCTGCAAGAGAATTACGTGGGAGTCTGTATGGGTGGGTGTAGGGTTTAGGGGTTTAGGGTTTAGGAAGGTTTTCGGGCTGGGTTTGCTTGGGGGTTTAGGGAGTGTAGCTGTTGCTTGGAGGCCGAGCAGGTGAAGCCAACACGGTTTAGACATTAGGGGCTTAGGGTTGTTTCAGGGTTTAAGAAGATCCCAAACCCTAAGACTCAAATGATCAGGAGGGTTTCTGCCTCACCCGCAGAGACACGAAGCCCTAACCCTAAATAAACCCCTTATGAATCAGCACACTCGGAACGCAAGAGTTGGATTCTGTGAGGTTTGGGCATGGAGGGTTTAGCGTTTAGGTTGTAGGGTTTAGGGTTTATGGATTTGAAGTAGTTCTCTAAATTAGGGTCCCTTTTCGGTTTCCTTTTGAGTGCCGTACTATTTTGGGACCTAAAAGGGGACCCTAATCTAGAAAACTACCCACATAGGGTTTGAATGGGAGTTTCCACGTTTAAAGTTAGCTTCGGATCAAGCCCAGCTACTGTTATTGTTAGTATCAGTAGTATTATGGCTATTATGTTTAGTATTGTTATTATTGTTGCTACTGTTGCTGTTCGTATTATTACTATCATTCCCATCCAAGCTTAAGGCTTAAGGCCCAGTCTCGAAACGGCGCGGCAGTACTGGTCAGCCAAGCGGGGGTCCAGCCTCCAGGTCATCCTGCAGCACGTCCCTCCGGGCCAGACGCTGGACGTGGGACCGGACTGGATGTGGTGGTTCGCAGTCTGAGCCCTCACCGACTTCCCCCCCCCCCC